CTCACTAAAAGGTTTTAAGTAAGTTTCCTACTTTGAGGAAACTTGCTAAAAGGTTTTAGGTAAGTTTCCTTGAGGTCCAGACAGTAGAAAGTATAATTTGCTCTAAATAGGAGACATGGGTGAATTTCCTTATCTAAAGACTAGGTAGTAGAATCCTGAAAGCCTATCCAGGGAGACTTTGGTGGATTGCTTTGAAGTGTAGCAGGTAAAAAACTTGACTAGCTCTAAAACAGGCAACCTGGATGAATTTCCATATCTAAAGCCAGACAGTAGGAAGTTTGAGTAATTCTGTAGAAGCTGAATAGGAGGTTAGGTGAGATAGTAGAATAAGATTTGGGTTTTCCTCCATCCAGCAGTGAGAGACTTTGCAGAAACAGCCCTTTTGCTTTTATTGATTAGCCAATTGTTAAGTCACTTTTGACTTCAGAGGAATTTCTCACCCTGGTGCAGTGCTTGCTTGTCAGGGCAGGCAGGCCTTATGCAGCTGAGGCAATCCAATTGTAGGCTGAAAGTTGCTCAGAATATTTTGATAGTACAATTATACAAAAAAAGGGAGGTCATAACACAAGTTAGCATGGAAAGTCTGATCTTTCAGAGGTTTTCCTGAGCTACCCGGAATCTGTCAGACGATAGCCGTCGCATAGCTTGTGTCAAAATATATAAAACATACTTCAAATCTAAAAGCAAGTGCTATGACATTTGCCCCTGCAACCTTTGTCTTACTACAAGTTTCTTGTTTATTCTTGTTATAGGGCACCTCAATTCAGAGAGGCATCCCTGAAGCCCCAAAACCTGCCTGCTCTAAGTGGGTTCTGCCATCCGCCGCAACAAGACAAAACATATAAAGCTTTAATGAAAAGTGACTTTAATACAGTGAATATACAATATGAAACACAAAGAATGTAACTTCTAAATCAAACACCTGAAGTTACCCATCCCCTCGTGGGCAAAAGTCAACCCAAAAGGGATTGGCCCAAAGCAAGGCCTGAAAGCCTGCCACAAGACTAAAGCACCTTCTGGCCGGGACCCATGGAAAAGGGTCAGAAATGGCCAGACAAATCTGAGAGGAAAAGAGCAAAAGCAAAATCAATATAAACACTGCCATAGTCACCTCCCTACAGGTATCTCACCCACATCTGCCTTAACCAGTCCAGGGTCAGGAAACAAGCCCGGTTTCTTCATCACATGTTTGCTGCTCCATGTGGCTTCCTTAGGTCTCCTTCTCCATCTGCCTCCCTTCTCTCTTCTTCTCTCTCCTTTTTCTCTGCTCAGTTCCACCCTCCTTCTGGGTGGGGCAGGGAACCTGGAACTTCCCTTCTCCTAGGGACCACCCAGTTACATTCTTCCAGAAAGAATACATACGCAATTCTATGGCGCTATGCAATTCTATGCATGAGCCAGTACTGGCGTAATTCTATGGCCATAGTAATACCATTCTGCATCTTGCTTTCCCCCCCCCCCCTGCATCTTGCTTTTCTTTTAAATTAAAGAAATGCATCCTGGAAATTGTTGTATATTACTACATGTAACCTATTTCATTGTTTTTAATGCAAATAATTTAAATGCATGGTTTAACCATAATTATCTCATTCGTCCCATATGGATGGCCACTTAAGTTGTTTCCCTTATTTTCTTTAAGGGAATTAAGTTCTCCCCTCATTTTCTTTATCTGTACAAACAATGCTGCAATATATATCCTTGTGTGTTTGTGATTTTTACAAATGTGTAAGCTTATTGATAGAAAAAATAACCTACCAGAACTAGGAGTGCCAGCTCAAAAGACAAGTATAATTTAAATTTTGAAATCTCTCTAACAATTTGTACTCCTAGAATCAGGATTGAAATTGTTCTCTACATCTTCTAAAGTAGCATTAAACTTTTAATTTTTTCCAGTCTTGTCTATGATAGTTTCTTATGTTGTTTGGATTTGTCTTTTACCTTATGTAAAGTTGAACATTTTTATATGTTTAAGAGGCTATAATAATTCTTCCTTTATGAATTATTCATTAATAATGTTATGGTGTATTTTTAAAACTCACTCAAATTGTAAAAATAATTTTTCTATTATCAGTTAAAATTCTCTTGTTGGATAAAAAAATCCACCTACTTGGTATTTATGAGAGATACTTTAAATCAAAGTAACTTGTTGAAAATAAGACTGAATAAAGATATATCAACCATGCATAAAAACACAGTAGGAGTAACAATATTAAAATCAAACAAACTAAATTCAAAGCAAATTTAAATTTAATAATTCAAATTACAAAAGGTGTTATCCATCAGTAATAAAATAATCAATGAAGCTTTTATGAACTAAACATAGATCTTCAAAATACAGGAAAAAACCTGGGGAGAGCTACTGCTCCATTGCTGTGCAAAGACCCTTGGTAAAGCCACCATTAGCATGTCCCACGAGGAAGTAAAACTTTAACTGAGGACTTGGAAGATAAGAAAAAGGAGAATACATTAAACTCAAAATTATTGGATAGGACCCCAGTGAGATTCACTTCAAAGTGGAAGTGAGCACACATCAAGAACACAAAGAACCCTACTGCCAAAGACAGAGAGTTAACAATGAATTCTCTTTGGTGCTCTCTTTGAAGGTCAGAGAATTTCTGATAACGAATTCTGAAAGTACTGGGAATGGATGAAGAAGATGTGATTGAAGCTTAGCAGGATTGAGCAGGGAGCCGTTCAGTAGTTAAGAATTTTTTCCTTTTCCTTCTCTTCCTTTTTATTCTTAAAAGTAGTTCTTTGGGAATGTGGCACTCAAAACAGAATTGAAAACTGGCACCCCGCACTCTAAAACACCTGATAATTTGAGTCCTAGTGCCTATGTCTCATTGTTCCTTCTCATTGTGCTGATCTTTGAGGAGCAGACCTCAGCCCCCATCACACTACCCTCTTCTTACAAAACATCACACGTGTGTACAGAGAGGTTACCTTCTCCAGGACTCTGCATTTTCAGGTTTGTGATCCATACTGGTGTTTATGGTGACTTTCCACTTTCCTTGAAGTTCTAGCAGGTGATTGCCGCACTCCTGGACTATGACTTTCAGTGGGAGATGGAAGTTTGTGAAAGAACTGACCTGTGGAAAAATGACCTTCCCTTAACCCGAAACTACTTTTAAAATCTGAGGGAATACCAAATTGGGGAGGAGATGACACATGTGGTGAGGTCACCAACTCACAGTGACTGACTCCAGAGATGGCTCTCCTGAGAGAAAGCATTTTAAGATTAAAGAAAAGTCTGCTAAGGAAATCCCAGAGAAGTTCTAATTTTTATTAGCAATTAAAGTTTGCATGCCAAAGTGTATACAATAGAACAGTCTTCTTTTTAATTTCATTTGTACTTTTTGTCCAGGATTATGGGTTTTAAGTGGACATTATATCAACTTTATAAAAATAAAATGTTTGTAAAAGAAAAATATTTTGCAAAATATAAAGCAAAAGTTGTTGGACATACAGCAAATTTTGGTAAGTCCATAAGTCCATATCATTTTGGGCACACTAGAACATAACTCTCTGGAGATTAAATAAACCAGTAGACAAAAGTAAGTCTGGCTGAAGACTTAAGTAACATATAAGGTAATAAATAGAACATATCTATTTCATAACTGTATATGGAATATTCAGGAAGAAAACAAGCATCAAAAACCATTTCAGTAATTCTAAAAAAGCAAAACATATACACCCTGACTATAATGTAACAATGATCAATTAATAACAAAAGAATGATCCCTTTCAGAACAAAATTATTTACATGTATCTAAAAGCACCTTCCTATGTGACTCCTAGAATTAAAAAAGAAATCAAAATTGAGATGAGAAACTAATCAACATTTGGGAATGACTGGTAATGAGAGAAACTGCCTTGAATCTTGTGAGACAGAACAAAATGGTATAACATAAAAATTTGTAGCATTAAAGTGCATTTATTAGGGATTACAAAAATGTCAGTCAGCAGTCTGTTGTCCATTTTAAAAAAAGATTTATTTATTTATGCATACAAGGCCAGAGGTGGGAGTGTATGTGTGAGAGGACTCACCAGAGACAGAGTGGGGAGCAGAATAAGGGAGCAGATGTACTGAAATACACAAACAGTCCATTTTCTAAGAGGTTAAAAACATACACATATCAAGAAAACGAACCAGGGAGGGTAGGAAGGGTTCTCTTAATACTGAACTCAACTTTTTCTAAGAACAGCTGAAAAGGTAAAAACTGTGCATGCATTTACTTGAAGCACCAGCATCATAAAATATATAATAAATAACTTCTGAAAAAAGTCCCTACTAAATGTCTCAACCTGCAGTTTGAAAAATCCTTACTTTCCAGACTTGGGAGAGCGTGAAGGAATTGCAATTAAAAACCGAGTATAAACTTTGTTTGGCTTTCCTCCTCCAGGGATCAGATGACTTTGGATGCTGGAACTAGCTTTTGTTTTACTCTTTCTTTCCGGAGGAGCTCAGACCCCCACAGTCAGTCCCGGGTGTTGCAGGACAAGCCAGCCACAAGTCCGTTTCTCTCCGACTCCAGGCCCCTCTGGGAAGTGAGAATCGCTAGGACGGGGCGCTGGCTGGCCAGACCCGAGGCCGAGCTCACTGGGGTCTCCTGGTCTTGCCAGCCTGGCTGAAAACTTCTCAAAAGTTCGCTGCGCTCCGGGCAAAGTCGACACACGGCGAATAGCAAATTCCGCTGGACACTTCGCGGCAGTGGGAAGTGGCGGGTCGCGGCAGAGGCGGCCAAGGTCAGAGCCCGTGCGTTTCCCTGCGTGCAGAGTCCCTGGCTGGTCTGTGCCTTTCGGGGCCAGGAGCGGGCGGCGTCTGTGTCTAGTTAAGGACAGCCTGGAGGGAGTGAGGGCGGTGAGAGGCCTGGCCCGCCTCTGCGGGGCCTACCCCTGACATTCACCCTTGAGTCCGCCCCCTCCCCCGTATACCCCTCCCCGCGATCGGTCCAGGGCGGGCTGAGGGCGCCGGCACTCGGGCTTTCGAGGCGCGGCGTCTGAACACTACCCATGACTGCACTGCTGGGCGCGAGGCAGCGGTGGGCGCTGCTGGGGACGCGGGTGGCCGGCTCTGGCCTCTTACCAGTTGAGGCCAGAGCCAAGGCCGCGATGCCCGCAGCCCTCCCGGCTGCTGAGGCTTCTGGAGCTGGGCCTGGCAATCCGAGACTGCGGAGCTTAAAGGACCTTGCTGGGCCAGGACAGCTGCGATTTTTATTTGAGTTGTTCATGAAAGGTTATGCTTTGCATCTGCCCAGGCTCCAGGTAAGAAGGGGGGTGGAGTGGGGTGGGGACTGGGGAGGATGGGGAGATGCTGGACAAAAAGTGGAGGATTCTGGAACTGAACTCCGGACCTGCTGGGGCTATGGTCATAAACTGGAAATCTGTGACGGTTATGTGCAAAGAGGAAACTTCTGAACAGAACTGCACATCAGTGGTATGAATCAGGAGGCATGAGGCAAGAGTTAGTAGATTTAGCGTGGACAGAAGATGAGAGAGAACTGTGCAGTTAGAAAGGCAACTGCGAGGGCTGCCTTTTTTTTTTTTGTCTGATGTTACTTAACGCTACAATCCTGTGATGCTATTGGCTACTGCAGACTTCTAACAAAAGAAGAAGCTTCAGGAAGTTTATAAAAGCTTCTTGGCAATTTGCAAGGTAATTTCCCGGCAGTGAATATAGGATGTCACTTCTCAGGAAGTAAAAACAAAAGCACAGCTATAAAAAAATGTTTATTTTTTGTTATTAAGAAATTAGTGTCCCGGCCCTCCCTGGTGGCGCAGCAGGTTAAAGCACAGCACTGAGAAGCTAAAGCCGCTTCCGCATGAGTTCGATTCCCGCCTGCCCCGGAGG